GGTGTGGAAGGCAGGGTGTGGAAGGTGGGGTGTGGAAGGTGGGGTGTGGAGGGTGGGGTGTGGAAGGTGGGAGGTCGGAGGATGTTGAGGAGAACAGGCGTGGATTTGGGTGGGAAACTCTAGGAGGAGGGAACAGTCAAGTAGGTCACTGGCTGTAGGAGTCTACAGTCGGGGATGGTCCGGGCTGGAGACTGAGGACGGCAGAATCAGTGCTGATGCTCAGCTCAGGACCCTGGGGAGCTCAGAGACCTAAGGGCGTGAGAGTTGTGGAAAGGGGGGATCCGAGTTCTTAGCCCGGGTTTCTGTCCCTTGTGAAGTGCTGGGGATGAGGAGGAGCCAGCCAGGAGGTGGCTGTGCTGGAAGCCAAGTGAAGGACGTCCACCCATGAGAGGGGTGGCTCAGACGTCCCTGGGGTAAGACAGGGCCTCAGAACCGACCGTGGAGGTTGTTGGTGGCCTTGACCCAAACCGTGCAAGTGGGGGGAGGGGCCAGAGCCTCAGTGGAGGGTTTAGGAGGCAATGGGCCATCTCTTCCACCAGTAGGGCTGCGCCACGCGAAAGAATGACACTGGACTCCTACGTCACACCATACGCATGACTGGACTGAAAATGGGGTCAACAGCCTGAGCCTGAGAGCTAAAGCTGTAAAACTCTTAGAAGAAAACATAGGAGTAAATCCTCACGACCCCGGATTACACAACGGTGTCTCAGAGGCAATACCACAAACACAAACAACGAAAGAAAGATTGTTGGACTTCGTCAAAATTAAAAACTGTCGTGCTACAAATGGTTTCACCATGAAAGCGAAAAAGCGTTTGAAAAGACAACTCACAGAATAAGAGAAAATAAGTGCCGATCATATATCTGCTAACCGTAATCTGGACTTGCATGCAGAATACACACAGAACTCCTAGAACGCAACAATGAAACGACGAACAAGCCAATTAAACAACGGGCAGAGGATCGGAACACGCATTTCTCCAAAGAGGACATAGGAACGGCCAGTAGGCACATGACAAGAGGCGCGGCGTCTCAGTCACCAGGGAAACGCAAGTTCAAACAGTGAGATGTCACCTCACGCCCACTGGAATGGCTGGCCCCGAGAGCCAGACGACATCAGATGTGGAGAGGTGGAACCCTCCTGTGCCGCTGGTGGGAATGTGACATGGTGCAGCCACTTTGGAAAACAGTCGGCAGCTCCTCAAGCAAAGGACCCCATGGCCAAGCAATTCCGTTCCTAGGTGTGTACCCAAGGAACTGAGAACACATGTACATGCAAAAACCTTACACATATGTTCATAGCAGCATTTCTCACGACAGCTAAATAATGGAAAACACCAACGTCCATCAACGGACTAATGGATAAACAAAGTGATGCACACGTCATGGAATATTATTTGGCCATAAAAAGGAACGAAGGATCGATCCACGCCCCGACATGGATGAAACGTGAAAACACCACACGAGGGAAAGCAGCCAGCACAAAAGACCACATACTGTGTGAATCCATTCGCTCGGGTGCCTGGAGCAGACAGACCTGCAGAGATGGAAAGCGGGTTAGTGGCCCCCGGGGCTGGTGGCACGGTGGGGGACGGGCAGTGCGTGCTAACGGACACAGGGGTTTCTGGGGGGTGATGAAATGTTCTAAAATTGACTGTGGCGATGTTTGCATAGCCCTGAGAACTTACTGTAAAACATCATACTGTACCCCTGGAGAAAGGACAATGAGAGGAAAGCGCTGGGGTCAGCGAGGAGGGGGCCCCACGTGGCCAGCTCGTCCTGCCCTCAGCAGCTCCTGCCCCACCATCTCCTTTCCAGCTTTCTCTGGAGGAGGCTGGGTCACTGCCTGACCCCCGTACACCCTGGCAGGGCAGTCCAAGGGACGGACGGCCAGGAGCGAGGCACAGAGGCTCCCCACGGCCACTCGCAGCAGTGCCCAGGCACCTGAACAGCGAACACAGAGCCCACACGTGGACCCAGGGCAGCCTGCTGACCACCCAGTCCCTCGTCGCCCCCGTGCCAGGGGCTGGCCTGGACCCTGCAGCAATGCAAAGACCTCCTGCTTTACAGAAAAGCCTCTAAAGATACTTACTAACAGTTCGTGCATTTCAACTCTGAGGACTGGGACACCTTTGGTCCCCACGATTAGGTTCTCAGGTGATCCCCTCATGGGCCTGGCCAACCTTCTAACCAAAGGCACCAAGTCAACAGCCAAAGAGCATGAGAACGTCTGTCGTGGCTTCTCGGGGGTGAGGAGGAGGGAGCAGATGTCCCCAGGACCCAAGTCCCAGAACGCTGCAGAACCCTGCTGTCCTCCGCAGCCACCGCCCCGTCTGGGCACCCCAGACTCCAGAGAAGCCTTGGCATTTCCACGTCCCCGTCCCCAGTCAGTGACGAGGACCCGGTGGTGCCTCAGCCTCCGCTTAGCAGCCACAGCTTTCTTACAGCGCCTGCCCCAGCAGCGCCCCGTTGTTGAGCTTCTCTCTGTACGATTCATCTCTACAATTAAAAATGAGTTCTATCCACAATCACCCAGAGTTGATGGGATTCCCACCTGCAGCGCCCGGATCGCGCTGTGATAGCAGGTCAGCTCTCCGTGGACGTGCTTCGAGTTCAAGGCCAGCCGGTGCCACATGCTCGCCACGTAGCCTTCGCTCTCGTCCTTGAATTTCTGTATTTCCATCGAGAAGTTCTGGCCAAGTTTGGCCTTCACAATGACCATGTGTTTGAAAATCAAGCTAAAGAAAAGCGAGAAGTAGAAGTCAATGCTTGCATTGAGTATAAAAGTGCTAAATATACATAATGCATCCAAAACGTAATTAAACTATTTGTCCACTTCCCTACACACAAAGATAAACCGAAATGGAACCGAGCCGGTTAGGGTGTTGGTGCTGGGTTGTGTTTTAAGTCCCCGCTCTTCTCGTGTTGAATTCTCACTGGGGAAGCAAAGTCACTCGGTGGGAACGGGAACGTGGGTCGCAGCGGGGCACTCACAGGCGGTGGGCCGTCCGCGGCAGCGCCTGCGCGGCCTCGTCCAGCACCCTGAGGCCGCCCTCCCAGTCGTCCTGGTCGGCGTGGCTGTGGAACAGCAGGCCGTAGAGGGCCGCGCGCAGCGTCAGGTCGTCCTCGGCCCCTGTGCCAGGGAGAGGAGGGGCTCAGACCTCTTGCTCACCCAACGCCCTCTGGCTCCTGGGACGAACCCATCGTGCCGCAGTCCCGATTCGGAACCGCGGCTACACAGATGCCTGAAGGCGAGCGCGTCCCCTGCAGGGCTAGCAGGAGAGTAGACCTGTGTGGCCCCTCCAGCCCGCCGCTGGCCTGGGCACCTTCGGTCCGCAGGGACCAGCCCCTCTTGTCCCGTTGCTGGTTTCTGCTGCTCGTTCCCCACTTACGTGGAGGATTTTGCTTTAACAGAAACAGCCCCGCATCTGTGTGCATTAACAGAGAGCGAGCGGGGTGCAGTCGCCATCCCAACACCCGCGGGACGCAGGAGTCTCCCAGGAAGCACTCTGAGCGGTCGAGGACACAGCGCCCACGCCCGTGTGGCAGGGGTTCTGGGGGTATGCTCCCGTTGCCGACCTGGGAGAGCACGCGGCACACGGCCACGGCACGCCCCACCACACACTGTAGAGCCACGTGGCACTGCGACCCCACGGGTATTTTCTAGACCTGAAACCATGGATCCACTCAGGGCACACGTGTCCCGTGTCTGCAATACATGCACATCGAGAGCTACCTCTGTGGAGGCCCAGCACCACGTGACAGCACAGACTCAGTGGGACGTCCCTGCCCCTCACTTCCACGCCTCTGTGGGCCATCCTTGCCGCGGATTGAACGCAACGACAGGCTCGATCCTGTTAGAACCAGTCTATGGTGCTAGTGTCTGGGGCGAGCTATGGAAGAATGTGAAGGGGCTCGTCATGGCTCCACCCAAACAAAGTTTCTGGCTCACATCGTTGGGCGTGGAGTTCTCCTTTCCTCTTGTCACCTGTTGCCCATAACAAGTTCTCCACAGTAGGACTGCCAGGTCGGAGGGGCCAGCGCACCATGGCCCTGCCATCTGCTGGCTAAGGGACTGCCCAGGCAGGGCTCAAGGGCGGCCTGGGGTCCCTGGGTGCTGGCTGGAGAGGCTGCTCAGCATCTGAAATTCGGGAACCAGGTGGGTTCTGGCAATGTGGCTGCTTCCACTGCTGGGATTTGTTATCGAAAGCCTGGCCAGCGGAATGCAGAACCGCAAACCGGGGTGGCGAGGGTCACGTACGTGTTCTTTCGCCTCCTGCTGACGCAGCGGTCACACCCTTTGCTCTGCACCCCCTAGACTCACAGTGACACACGACATCCAGTCATGATCCACGGCCACGGCGCTTGGATCACCCAAGGCTTTTCCTATCAGCTGTGGAGGTGTCGTGGCAGAGACCCTGCCTGCAAATATTCCAGGGGACTGTCTCCCAGGAGGGAGTCTAAAGCGACTCTAAAATACTCAAGGTAGGAACCGTATTTCCATCCTACAGAATTTAAAGGCGCCCCAAATACACATTAGGACTCTTACATTAATAGGTTTCATCATTTTTTAGCAGATAATCATTTTTTTCTGTAAACATGGATTGGTATTCTAAAATATGGTTCTATTGTTAGCAGGTCAGTATATATTTTTGTTTTTTATGTTTTGGGGTTTTTTTGTTTTGTTTTGTTTTGTTTTTTTGCAGTAGTATATCTCCACATTTTTTATGGAAGCAGAAAAATACGATTCATCTGTTGGCATAACCAAGAGGCTAGGTTTCAGGTGGCCACTGCAGAGGACAACCGTGCTCGCTCTGGCTCCGGCTGTGCCTGGCCCTGGAGTGGGGAGACATCCTGGGCTTTAGCTTCTTTGCCTGCAGAACAGGGACTTCATGAGGTAATTTACGGAAGTACACACAGTGCCTGTCCTGCATTGCATGCTGGACGGACGTCACCCATGGTCACTGCATGATTAGGTGGCTTTGTACAAGGTGCAGGAATTTGAAAGCACTGGGTGTTGAAAACCGTTCTCAAGGCCTTCCCTCGCCTATGCTGAGAGCCCTTGGCTTGGTCTGCCTCGCGTCTACAAACCTGGGAGAAAATAGCCTTCCGTGGTCCCACCGCTCTGGAAGTCCGCTGTAGGCCACTGGTGCAGAAACAGCGTTTTTCCTTTTTCCTGAAGTAAAAACAATAAACGATACGTATATTTGAAAGTTGCAACTTATTCTTTTACCTTCTTGCTTTTCATTTGGCTCTCTATCTAATGACAGAAATTGTAGCTAAATTTCTGAAGTACTAAGTCACAAAAAATCAAGTCATTTCGTGCATAAGAAAAAGCTCTACAGTGCAAGGTTAATTACACTGCAGCACACACGCACGCACGTGTACACACACACGCACACGCAAACATGCGCACACACGCACACACACGGAGACCACTGCCTTCACATAACCTATGGTTTTTTCAATGATGTGAAATATCTAAGGCAGTTTCATGGCTCTAAATCAATGGGATCAAAAGCATATTAGGAAAAGAAACTGTATGGGATGCACTGAAAGCCGCGCTCACAGGGACGTTCACAGCCGTAGAAGCCTATCTTTAAAACAAGAAAGACCACAGATCAATATTACAACTTTCCATCTTAAGAAACTAGAAAAAGTAGAAGAAACTAAACCCAAAACTAGCAGAAGAAAGGGAATAATAAAGAGTAGAGCAGAGATAAGCAAAATAGAAATAGAAAAACGACAGAGAAAATCTATTGTTTATAAGTTGTTTGTTTGAAAAGATCAACAAAATTGACAAACCTTTAGCTAGACTGGCAAAAAAAAAAGAAAAGAAAAAAAGATTCAAATAACCAAAATAAGTAATAAAAGTGATTAAGTAATAAAAGATTACTACCAATTTCAGAGAGATAAAAAGGGTTATAAAAAGATCCTATGAGCGGCTGCACACCAACAAAGTGGACAATCTACAGGAAACAGACGAATCCCTTGAAATGCACAAATTACCCAAAATGACTCCAGGGAAAATGGAAGTCTCCTGTGGGAGCGAGAAGTACGTGAAAGCCACGTGCTTTTCTCCTGCTCTTACTCAGCAAGAAGCCGCACAGGGACCGACGTCTGTATCCAAACGTGTGGGCGCCTCTCCCCACGAGGGAGCCAGCCGTTCCCAGCAGACACCGGCTGGGTGTCTCGGATTCAATTCCGGCACCGTCTATCTGGAGACAGTGTCAGACCCCACAGGTTGAACACCCCCACGCAGACGCCAGTCGCACGTCCAGAGCTCTTCAACTTCCCACCACCCTGTCCTTGGGCATCTCACAGAACTCAGGGAAACACTTACTTCCATTTTCCAGTTTATTACAAAGGATATTTTAAAGGATACAAAGAAACAGCCAGACAGGAGATGAACAGGGCGAGGTCTGGAAGGGTCACAAGCACAGGAGCTTCCGTTCCTGTGGAATTGGGGTGCGCCCGCCCCAGAACATGGGTGGGTTCAGCTGCCCACAAACCCCCCGAGCTCTGTGCTTTTGGGTTTTTGTGGGAGCTTCATGACGTAGGCATGACTGAAGCATGGGCAGCCGTGTACAAATGTGATTGGACAGAAAGGGTCTGACCAAGCACTGGCAGACGGGGTGGGGAAGCCCGGGAAGGCCTGTCTGCTCAGGTTCCTCTGGGCCTCTCTGTGCAGTGATCCCTCCACCCCAGCACGGCTAGGACACCTCCTGAAATGGAGGTCTTGTCACCTGCGGTCAGGCGAGGTAGGGCAGAGCGTTTCCTGCCTCAGGGGAGAAAGGAACAGGTAAGAGGAGGGCAGGAGGAGGTCGGAGAGAAAAAAGACTCAGTTTTGTGTGGCCTCCCTCTGAGGCCTAAAGTGCCCCCAAAATCATAACCAAAGAACAAGGGTGATTGGAGTTATGGACCAGGAGCCACGGACAAAAGCCAACTGAATTGAATCAAAACCTCCCAGTAAATAAAAGTCCTGGACTGGGTGGCCTCACCCGTGAATCCTACCAACATTTAAACAGAATTAACAGCAATCCTTCAAAACTCTTCCAAAAACTGAAGACAAAGACGCACTTCCTAACTCATCCTACGAGACCAAACCCAGATGAAGACATCCTAAGAAAAGAAAGTTACAGGCCAGGAACCCTTATGAATATATTTGCAAAATTCTCCACAAAATGTGAGCAAATCAAGTCCAACAGCATATTAAACACATTATTCATCACGACCAAGTGGGATTGATCCCAGGAATGCAAGGATGGTTCAACATAAGAAAATCAATGCAACACACCTATTGACAGAACAAAGGAGAAAAACCACGTGATTGTCACGATTGCTGGAGAAAAGGCATTTGACAAAATCCCACACCTTTTTATGACAAAAACTCGAAGAAAACTGGAAATAGAGGGAAAATTCCTCAACACAGGAAAGGGTCCTTGTGAAAAACACACAGCGAGCATCATACTCAACCACGAAAGACTAAAGCTTTCCTGAGAGCAGGAACAAGACAGGTCCCGCTTCCACGGCTGCTACTCAACATCGAACTGCAAGTTCTAGTCAGAGCTCAGACAAGGAAAAGAAATACAAGGTGACCAAATTGGAGAGGAAGAGGCAGAACAATCTCAATTTCAGATGACATGATCCTATACACGGAAAACCCTAATGATTCCACAAGAACGTTACTAGAGCTGGTAAGTGAGTTTCAGAAAAGTTGCAGGGCACAAGACCAACGCACCACGTCAGCTGTGTTCTTATTCACCAGCAACGAACAAGACAGGACGCTGGTGCTATGGACTGAATTGTGTCCCCCAGTTCCTACGTTGGATCCTTACCCTCGTGTGGGCACAGCTGTGTTTCTACAGAACTTTATTTACAAAAACAGGCAGTGGGCTGGACTTGGCTCCTGGGCTGCAGCTTGCCCACCCCCGGCCTGGACTATCAGAGGCCATAAATACCAGCCAGTTTCTGGTATGAGGCTATGATATTCTGTTTCCTTCCTGCTGTCTCTTGCATGGCGGGTCCCTAGCCAGGCATGGCAGGGGAAGGCCACACTTTCACACGTGGCTGTGCACCCTTCTGGCATGGGCCATGTTCCAAGACCAGCCCACAGGGCAGCTCCCCGAGTCGGCCCACTTGTCCAGCTTTCGGGTTATGTTGCTATGTTGTTGTGGTTCTCCTAGGAGTCCTCAGTGTTGTGGGGCTCTGTGTGGCTGACTTCTGAGTCCTGGTGGCAGCTGAGGTTGGCAGGAGATTGGGGCTGGCTGGTCTGGCTGGGTACATGTGGCTTCCATCCTGAAGTCTTGGGTGCAGCACCCGTATGAGGCCCACCTCCCCGCCCCGCCCGATGCTCTCACGGGCCATGTACAGGGTTTCTCTGAAGTACTCACTGGGTACTTGTCCAGGCCCCTCGTGCGCCCATCCACAGTGAGTCTTGGCTCCTCCCTGGAACTAGGGACATGTGCCCTCGTGCCCCATTCAGCAGAGGGGGCCCTGCAGGGAGCCGAGTCCCTGAACCTACCAGCCTCTCACTCAGCAATCCTGGAGGCTAAAGCAGACCTTCTCTCCCAGGAGGGACTCTGCCACCCGGGAAACCGAGTCTACAGGGCAGAGGTCAGTGGGGCTGGTCTGTGCTTAGGGAGGAGCTGGGCTGGGCTCCAGGGCTTGGCGCTCTGGGACAGGCCCACGGGAGCAGCCCCACACCCAGCCTTCCTCCAGCTGTCATTCCAGGAAGGAGACGTGACCTGCGGTCCACTCGGCCTCGCCTCTGACGGCCGTCCTCCTCTGTAGCCCCAACCCCGGTCCTTGGGTGGGCTCTGTGCCTCCCCGCTGCCTGCTCACCCCTCAGACACACAGATTCACTGGAGGCTCCGTCTCCGCCACCCTCCTGTCTTCCCCACTGACACCTCCTCTCGCCGTGCCAGGGGCCTGCAGATGGGCGCCCGCCTGTCCTCCCCTTCGAGAGTTACATTCCTGAGGGCAGGCATCGCGCCACCTCACACCCTGTCCCCACTTGCACATCTCCAGGGTCTGGAGCCCACCCTCGCAGTGTGCGTGGGTGGGGGCAGCGCCGGGCCCCGACTGGACTCAGCAGTGCCCTCCCCCAAGCCAGCCCACTGGGATTTTGGAGACAGGGCCTGGCTGGAACCGTCCCAGGGGGTCTGTCTTTCTGGGGGAGCCTCTCCAGGCCTTTTTGGAAGAACATTAGAGGTGGCAGCAGGAGCCCCTGCCCGCCCCAGTCCTCGCCGCACCTGCTTTTTGGCCTCCGTCTTGTTGATGATGCCGATGATCTTCTGGACGGCCCCCTTGGCTTTCTTCCTGTTGGCCGCGGAGGACAGCAGCGGGAGCCAGGTGTTCCAGAAGTGCCGCGCGGCCACCATCACCAGGGCGCTGCTGCCTGCCATGCCCCCAAACCTGAGGGACCAAGCTCCTGATCTAGAGGGGTGCGGCGTCGGGGCTGCTCCCGATGTGGCAGTGGGACCATCTCAGTCCCCGAAGCTTCTGGACTTATGTGGAGGGAAGAGGTGGGGTGGGGCACCTGGGGTGCCCTACCCTGCGCTTGCTCCCTGGGGCCTGTGGGGCCTGTGGCTGGCTCTGCAGGTTGGGGCGCCTGGGGGGCTGGGGCACGTCCCTGACGGTGCCCGCTCTTCAGCAAAGCCTTTCCAAGCAGCCCGGGCCAGCCCTCCCTGACCTCCAGGCTGCAGGGTGCCCAGGCAGGCACACGGGCAGTGGGACCACCTCCCTGCCCTGGCATTCATGCGAGGCAAGACAGCTGGAGAGGGACGCCCGTCCCGCCGCCGTGAGCCCCAGCTGCCCCCTCCCTTGCTTCCGGACCCCTGCCATGCACCTCTCCCCTCGCCATCTCACCATCGGAAACGCCCAGGCTCCTTGCTGCTCAGAGACCCCCTCTTGGGCTCACCTGCCTCCGCTCCCACCCCTGCTCCCCACCAAGCTTCTCACAGGACTGACCATGGCCTCTCTGTCCCCATGGCCCCTCCACCCCCAGCCAGCTGCCCGCAGGCCTCGGGGGTCGGCACAGGGGCAGGATGGGACTGAGGCCTCCCAGCAGCACTGGGTCCCCCTCGGGCCTCGCACCTGGCACTGTCAGTGAAGGCCTTGGCCGCCGCCAGCCGCCGCTGCTTCCTGCCCTGCAGGTTTTCCATGATGCTCTTGCCCTGGACACACGCGGCTGTGCACAGCATCTCCGCTGCCAGTGGGGCCTTGGCCCTGGGGGACAGAGGTCATGGGGCTGTCCTCACCAGCAGTGCTATGTCCCCCTGGCCACACAGCGTGTCCAGGGGAGGCACGTTCCTGGCCCCACACTCTTGCACAGGGACCGGCCTGCCCTGAATCTGGGATGGCCTCAGGGACCTGTCTAGCTGGCAGTGCCAGGTACCTGGCACTCTGGCCTTCTGAGGGAGTGCCAACGGGTGCCTGGGTGTCTTGGACACTCACCCTGGGGCGCCCAGAACCTGGGTGCTGGTTGAAGCCCTGGCGAAGGCAAAAAGGGCCCTCAGGACCGTGGCCCTACCTGGCTAGGGCAGTGACCTTCAGAGAGGCCCCAAGCTGGAACTGACTGGCTGAGCCCGGTCACCCACAGACCACGAGACGGGGTCACAGGCTCACTTCTAACAACTCACTTTCAGGGGCTGCGTGCAGACACAGCCCCAGTGGTCCTGCCTCCTGGACCTGGTGGCAGTCGCACCTTGGGTCTCTGGCACCCACAGTGTCACTCCCAGAGCCTGCGTGCTCCCCCACCTGCCGCTGGTGCAGCTCAGCCCCAAGGATGCAGACGCAGCACTGAACAGACTCCGGGAGACACCGGAGACACAGGCCAGCTCCTGGGCAGACGCCAGCCCGGGGCCCCGTGGGAGCAGATGGCACTGCGCTGAACGGGGGTGTGGGACAGAGGTGCTGGCCCGGGCCTGCAGGGACCTGCTGCGTGCAGTGCGGTCTGCGGTCTGAAGGTGAAACTGAGGCCTGCGAGCCGGCAGGGACCTGGGAGCGACTCCGGGGTGGGCACGGTGACCTAGCAGGGTGGGGGGAGGCTGGCCCTGCCTCTGCCTGCATCCTAGAGGCTGTGATCTCCATTGCGCAGTTGTTGGGCAGCATGTTCCGCAAACGTCAACTGGGGGGATGTGTCGACCGCGTCACTTACAGCGACATCCCTTCTGTTCTTTTCTACTCTGTCCCGTCAGCGACTGAGGAATGAGTGCTGAGGTGTGTCCTCGTGTTCTGAAGCGTGGCTACGTGGACACACCTGGCGCTCCTGCGTTTCCCCAATGCTTTGATCGTCTCGTCGTCAGGAGGTGTCTCCACACAGCCACGTGCGGTCACCAGTGCCCAGCTCGCGCAGACCCTCTCCTTCCCCGCACTCAGCCTGTGGCTTCCCATTTGCAGAGCGTTCCCTGCACGTGGCTTAGAGTTGGGTCTTGCGTGTGGAATTCCGTGGACTAGATGCTGAATTTTAACTGGAGTGTCGGTCCCTTCACACCTGATGAAATTACGGGTGCTTTGGGATTAAACCCAGCACTCTGCTGGCGCTTTCCTCTGGTCCCATACGTTCTCTGTTCCTTCTCTCCCTTCCTTTCAATTAACTGAGTAATTTTTAGTGTCTCCACGTATTTCCTTAGTTAGACCTTTACTTTCACCTCTTTGTTTTATTTTATTTTTAGTACTTGCTCTGGGGGGATGACAAGTGTCCTCAAGTCACCGCAGTTCCACCCTGAACAAACTGCACCACCTCCGTGTGCCGTAGGACCTGCTTCCCATCTGCTG